GCAGGAAAATAAGAGGAAAGAATGCTGCCGAACCAATCATCTCGGCCACTTTGGGGGGTGTGCGGCGCTGCAAGTCGCTGCAGGGTCAGGAGGAAGCCGAGTTGCCGCAGCGGCCCTGTTCGGCGCGCGTGGCGTGGGCCTTGGCTTCGTGTCTAGGCGTCTTGATTGACCTGCATACCGCGTCGTTCTCGGCTCCGCCATGGCCCATGAAGGCGAGCATCATCGTCGGCCTCATCTCGATGTGGAATGCCGCGACAAGAGAGAGAGAGAGAGAGAGAGAGGGAGGGCGCCAAGCGGGCCTAGGGGTGGTTACACTGCACTACACTGCAAACAAGCTGACTGGACGAATATCGGTACGCAAATCTGAGTCGGTCGTCATGTCTGATCCCGCAATGGAACTTGGGAGGTTTCCACCAGAGATCTGGTCTGACTCAGTCGTACTCGGGGGGTTCGTGATCGGAGCGATGCAACTCAACGAGAGGAAGAAAGGGAATCCCCTTACCCAATAGTGACGAGGGTGTACATGTTACACTGAGGATGGAAGGAAGGGGATCCTCCGATTCGAGGCTCTCGATCGAGGCCGACGCTGCCGTCGGCTTTCAGGAAAGAGGCAGAAGGGTGAAGGGTGAAGGGAAAAAATTTGGATAGAGTCTTCATTCGATCGTGGCACATGTAGACGCCTCCTACCTGCTTGATTTAGGTAGTGAGCTGACTAGGGGGCAATGGGGGGCCCTACAAGGTGGGAAGGGGGCGCCTGTTATCCTGGCGAAAACCCACTGAAAGGAGGGGCTATGCAGGCTGTTAGCGGGCGGCGGGCCAACCTGCAGAGAACGTGGGCCCGCGACTGCGCCGAGCAGCGCTCAGAGGTCCCTGGGTCCTTGGGTCCCAGGTCCCTAGGAGATATCCACTACACTGGTGGTTGGTCGTGGTTAGGCTGTTCTAGGTACCTGCTCAGAGGCCCCCACCCATCCACAACACCTAAGGTACCCTCCTCCCCAGCGCCGACCCATGTTCTGGGCTCTAGCACGCCTCCAATCCCCAAGGCACACCCCCCCCCCCCGACAACCTGCTCATCCACCTCGCTAGCCAGTGCCCGCAGATCTGCTGCCCAAACTTATCATGGCCATCGTTCTTGCACAGTACCTTGGTTGAACAACCATTCCGATTTCCCTTCTCTGCCTTTTTTTCCTCTCCTTGCTCGTACCTACCTACCACGACATCGGGGACATTGCAAACCCCGGACCTGGTTAAACACACCGACGTCGTCCCCTCCCAATTGTTCGGCGCAGTCTC